ACCACATCATTATGTTTTTAATGATTTAATGTAACAATATTTTAATTTGATCTAAAACTAAAATTCAATATTAAAATTAAAATAATTTATTAATTTAATGAAAAAAATTATACAAATTTTAAAATTAAATGATATTCAATATAATTTACCATTTATTTTGTTACAGAGGATTTGTTTGTGGCATCCATTAATTCGAACCTTTTTCCGGTGAGATTATTTCCCTCTTCTCTCTATTTTCTCTCGAACCCGAATATTTTCCTTTTATTTCTCTGTTTTTGGTATTTACTTCTTGATCCTTTCTAAAAAACCCCTCATGAATTTATAGGCTTCAAATCCCTTCATTTTCGACTAGTTTTAGTTTCCCAGTTGGACTAAAAAACTAACTCGTTTTTTCTATTTTTAAGGCTTGATTGTGTGTCGTAAATCTCGGTGATGGTGGGCGCGTTGCCGTTGTGGACCATTGGTGCATGCGTGGAGGGTCTTCGGAAGAGGAGAGCTTGGCGGCGAAAATTTAGTGTCTACTGTATATTATCCTTCGTATTTAGAGTTTAAGATTTATGATTATATATTTATATATTTTAGAGTTCAGTTTAGTGATAAAATCAACGCATAAAGTTAATTCATTGAGTGATATTAATGGTTAAAGGAAGTGTTGTTCTCCCTTCAGGTTCTAGGTTTGAGCAGTTGCGTTTGCAGGAAGTGTGTGTTGTCAATGGTTAATAAAGAAGATTATGAGCAGAACTTTGCAATTACCTCATATTATTCTAAAAAATTTGATACACAGAGTGAAGTTCGAAAAAAGACACGACCACATCATTATGTTTTTAATGATTTAATGTAACAATATTTTAATATGATCTAAAACTAAAATTCAATATTAAAATTAAAATAATTTATTAATTTAATGAAAAAAATTATACAAATTTTAAAATTAAATGATATTCAATATAATTTACCATTTATTTTGTTACAGAGGATTTGTTTGTGGCATCCATTAATTCGAACCTTTTTCCGGTGAGATTATTTCCCTCTTCTCTCTATTTTCTCTCGAACCCGAATATTTTCCTTTTATTTCTCTGTTTTTGGTATTTACTTCTTGATCCTTTCTAAAAAAACCCCTCATGAATTTATAGGCTTCAAATCCCTTCATTTTCGACTAGTTTTAGTTTCCCAGTTAGACTAAAAAACTAACTCGTTTTTTCTATTTTTAAGGCTTGATTGTGTGTCGTAAATCTCGGTGATGGTGGGCGCGTTGCCGTTGTGGACCATTGGTGCATGCGTGGAGGGTCTTCGGAAGAGGAGAGCTTGGCGGCGAAAATTTAGTGTCTACAGTATATTATCCTTCGTATTTAGAGTTTAAGATTTATGATTATATATTATATATTTTAGAGTTCAGTTTAGTGATAAAATCAACACATAAAGTTAATTCATTGAGTGATATTAATGGTTAAAGGAAGTGTTGTTCTCCTTCAGGTTCTAGGTTTGAGCAGTTGCGTTTGCAGGAAGTGTGTGTTGTCAATGGTTAATAAAGAAGATTATGAGCAGAACTTTGCAATTACCCCATATTATTCTAAAAAATTTGATACACAGAGTGAAGTTCGAAAAAAGACACGACCACATCATTATGTTTTAATGATTTAATGTAACAATATTTTAATTTGATCTAAAACTAAAATTCAATATTAAAATTAAAATAATTTATTAATTTAATGAAAAAAATTATACAAATTTTAAAATTAAATGATATTCAATATAATTTACCATTTATTTTGTTACAGAGGATTTGTTTGTGGCATCCATTAATTCGAACCTTTTTCCGGTGAGATTATTTCCCTCTTCTCTCTATTTTCTCTCGAACCCGAATATTTCCTTTTATTTCTCTGTTTTGGTATTTACTTCTTGATCCTTTCTAAAAAAACACCTCATGAATTTATAGGCTTCAAATCCCTTCATTTTCGACTAGTTTTAGTTTCCCAGTTGGACTAAAAAACTAACTCGTTTTTTCTATTTTTAAGGCTTGATTGTGTGTCGTAAATCTCGGTGATGGTGGGCGCGTTGCCGTTGTGGACCATTGGTGCATGCGTGGAGGGTCTTCGGAAGAGGAGAGCTTGGCGGCGAAAATTTAGTGTCTACAGTATATTATCCTTCGTATTTAGAGTTTAAGATTTATGATTATATATTTATATATTTAGAGTTCAGTTTAGTGATAAAATCAACACATAAGTTAATTCATTGAGTGATATTAATGGTTAAAGGAAGTGTTGTTCTCCCTTCAGGTTCTAGGTTTGAGCAGTTGCGTTTGCAGGAAGTGTGTGTTGTCAATGGTTAATAAAGAAGATTATGAGCAGAACTTTGCAATTACCCCATATTATTCTAAAAAATTTGATACACAGAGTGAAGTTCGAAAAAAGACACGACCACATCATTATGTTTTTAATGATTTAATGTAACAATATTTTAATTTGATCTAAAACTAAAATTCAATATTAAAATTAAAATAATTTATTAATTTAATGAAAAAAATTATACAAATTTTAAAATTAAATGATATTCAATATAATTTACCATTTATTTTGTTACAGAGGATTTGTTTGTGGCATCCATTAATTCGAACCTTTTTCCGGTGAGATTATTTCCCTCTTCTCTCTATTTTCTCTCGAACCCGAATATTTTCCTTTTATTTCTCTGTTTTGGTATTTACTTCTTGATCCTTTCTAAAAAAACCCTCATGAATTTATAGGCTTCAAATCCCTTCATTTTCGACTAGTTTTAGTTTCCCAGTTGGACTAAAAAACTAACTCGTTTTTTCTATTTTTAAGGCTTGATTGTGTGTCGTAAATCTCGGTGATGGTGGGCGCGTTGCCGTTGTGGACCATTGGTGCATGCGTGGAGGGTCTTCGGAAGAGGAGAGCTTGGCGGCGAAAATTTAGTGTCTACAGTATATTATCCTTCGTATTTAGAGTTTAAGATTTATGATTATATATTTATATATTTTAGAGTTCAGTTTAGTGATAAAATCAACACATAAAGTTAATTCATTGAGTGATATTAATGGTTAAAGGAAGTGTTGTTCTCCCTTCAGGTTCTAGGTTTGAGCAGTTGCGTTTGCAGGAAGTGTGTGTTGTCAATGGTTAATAAAGAAGATTATGAGCAGAACTTTGCAATTACCCCATATTATTCTAAAAAATTTGATACACAGAGTGAAGTTCGAAAAAAGACACGACCACATCATTATGTTTTTAATGATTTAATGTAACAATATTTTAATTTGATCTAAAACTAAAATTCAATATTAAAATTAAAATAATTTATTAATTTAATGAAAAAATTATACAAATTTTAAAATTAAATGATATTACAGAGGATTTGTTTGTGGCATCCATTAATTGTGCTATTTTCCCAACGATCCCACATATTGTGTAAAATTGAAGGGCTTAATACAAAAATAAGCGCATAAACTATATTCAAGATTGACTTTTGGTAATTAAAATTATTTTTGTTAGAAATAGGTGTCTAATGTTTTATTCGTTACACTTTTATGTATTTATTGTTAAAAAAAATATTAAGTGGCACGTGCCACATTTATATTTTTTATTTTTTAAAAAAATATTTTTTAAACAAAATATTTTTTTTAACATTTTTTTTGTAAAAATCTAAACGTGACACATGTCATTTAACAATTATTTTAACGGTAGACACCTAAAAGTGTAACGGAGAAAATGTTAGACACCTATTTTCAATAAAAAAAATTTAAACATCAAAAATCAATTTTTAGTATAATTTAAATATTTATTTTTATTATTAAGCCAAATTGAAGCTGGCTAGGAATTCAAAAAGCTTTCATCAAATGTAACGAGTAAGCTAATAATTAAATTATAATATTTTAAGAAGTTATAATAAGATTATTAGTATATTTATTAATTATGATAATTAAATTAATTTGTTGATAATTTTTTATAATCAAGTTATTTTATTTATAAATTATAATAATTAAAAAATAATGTTAGTTGCATTTTAATCAGAAAATGACTTATTATTATAATCTATAAATAAAATTAATTTAAAACTATAATTTGTTATAAATTTAACGATAAAATAACATGATTGTTACTCAAATTTATTTATGATTTGGTAGGAGCCTTTACTGACGCTACCACTTCGATTATATATTATTCTTTAAACATATTTACAAACTTTCAATTAAGGGATTTGTTAGTTTGGATCAAAGTTTAACATAAATATATTATTCTTTAAACATATTTATCAAACACTTTCAAATAAGGGATTTGTTGTTACATTTATTTGGTAACAAATCTGTTTAAAGACTTTCAATTTTTTTTTGAAATCTAAATTATACAATAAATCTCTTAAATATTAAAGTCGTTCAGTTTATGTCAAAAGGAAAATAAATTTCGATAGAAGTATAATCCACTTTTTCATAATTGTGATCTACTTATTAATATTGATTTTTGGTTTATATGGATGGCACAATGACAAATAGGGTAAGGAAAACAACAATTTTGATCCAATATCGTAGGTGGGGTAATTATTTAGTCCAATATGACATTAGATTTTATTATTATTTTGTAACTAAGATATTTGTAACGGTGACATGAAAGCTATCACGTGAGCATGACGAATTTTAATAAAATATGTTTTTTTATTGAAACTTGTCATTTCGATGCGGCAAAATTTAATAAAAGATTATATTTTATTGAAACTCGTCATTTTAATGTGACTAGTTTGAATAAAAAAATATTATTTGACAAACTCATCGCGTGAGCGTGATAAATATATCCTGCATTGTAGTATTGACCGTAGATCTCAAATTGATTTTATAGATAACCTAATGAGCTAATTTTTTAACCTGCCTAACTATTGGGCCAATTTTGCCTAAGGTAAACAGTCCTTGAATACTTTGAACTGGACTTCAGGTTTATATGGCCCAATCGACTCGTACGCGCCCCCTTTTATTAGTATCGACTCAAAATCAAAGGCGGTAAAGGAACGACAATGGAGGGCGTCGCGTCTTCTGCATATGCCGAAGCCATAATAGAAACCCTAAAGACCAGAGGCTGGTGTGTAGGCGATCTGGACCAAGTCAAAACTCTCGTAGTACTATTCAAAGCTTTATCGGACGACTTAGACTTGTGTTCGATCGCCAATAAGGTTGAATCGGAGCTCATTAACACGGACCTTAGATCCTTCGGTGGAATATCCTTACCCGAATCCAATATTCGGAAATCTTCTTATATTCTAGGCCCCAGAGTGCTACAAGTAAATGACTTCCTCTTCCTCGTTCTTTTGGATTTTGTTTTGGCATAATTTTGAATTGATTTTTGAACATTTTTTGTTTTGCTTTAGATTTCGTCAGTTAGGGATATATCTAAAAGCAGCATAGCCGAATTTTCTGGGAATTCGAGTGGTTCACGTTTGCTGAGATTGGGTCTGACTGATGGCCATAGTGAGATAACTGCCATTGAGTTCACTCATGTTCCAGCAATTGCAGACGATGTGGTTCCTGGTACCAAGGTATTGTTAATTTTAATGCTTTAATGAGCTTTGTTCTATTTGTTTCTGTGATCATTGTGCAATTTGAAACTCAAATATAAGGGAATTATTTGAATGCTACGCAAGTAAATCGGCATTGACTTCTTTATTAATTATAATTGAACGTTTGGCCATCGTTTATATATTTATTTGTGAAGTAATGTTAAATTCTCGTGATGATAGCTTCCTGTAATTTGTTCATCCTCTAGAAATTCTTCATGATACATTATGCACATAACCTGAAAGTTTTTATTGTCTCTCTTTTTATTTTGAATTATGGACTATGGTTGGCAGATTCGCTTGGAAAACAAAGTCATGATAAAAGGTGGCATATTATGCCTGAACCCTAAGGTGATAACTGTGTTAGGAGGCGTTGTTCAATCACTCTATGATGAATGGAAGATGAATAAAAAGTATTCAGGTGTCTCCCGTTTATCCAAGGAAAGTGGTACCTGTGGTCCTCCCCCATTTGAGAAGTTGCAAATTGAGCCCCCTTCGAGAAGTAGGTTTGCTCAACCAGGCAGATCACATGGTGGGTATTCTGAATCATTTTAAATGTCTGGTATTTGATCAATTGATCTTTTTCCCTCTTGCATTGTTTTTCTTTGCATGCTGTTTATTTGTTTTGCATTTAGAATTTGTTCGTTCCATCACTCTTTAATTGCTTCAATAAATACATTTGCTCCACGTCTACCCTTAGAGAAATGAAGTGATAGACAGAGAACACATGGCTGGAATGAACTTTGTTGTTGGCTATTATAATCATGCTGCTAACTCTTATTAGTATGATATCTGTTGTCTATTGGAGCTGATGGCTCAAGTTATAGCAGAAAATATTTACAATATGAATGCCAATGTGACGAAATGAAAACCTTTTTCCATTGACTACTTTTTCATATTGGACATGCTTGGAATGCTGACTCTTTCATTAGATTTTTATTCCTTTGATAAATGTACTTAATCTTTCTTCTATTTTTCTGGAAAACAATTATTGGCAGGTTCAAAGAAAAGGAAACTTTCATTTTGATTACTTGGTGTTCAGGAGAAAAAAAGCTTGACTCTTAGGAACCTCTAAATAAGTTCACAATTACAGAAGTCCTGAGTTGTACTCTTGAATGATGAGAACACAAAAACAAATATTCTCCTTGAATCTCATCCTTCCATAATGAATAATCACCATCAATCCATTGTTGATGATTTATTAGTGGTGAATGGCATTTGATTTACTTCGGCTTTTGTTTTATGGTTTTAGTAAATTATCTTGGTTTTTTTATCAGTTATTTATTCTCTTTCTTTAATGTTCAAAATTTTAAACTGCTAAGCAAGTTTGTTTGCAACTTTGTGCAACATTAAAGGTTAAGCTTGAGGATGATCAATGAGCATCGAGAAGCTTTAACTTAAGGACCCATTGGTATTCAAAAAGCCTACTGAACAGTTGTTCCTTAATTTTTCATTTATGAGCAGTTCTATTTGTAATGCAAGCTTTAGATGACTCTCAAACTGTGATTATTCATTATACTTTCTTGATGTGCATTGGGTATATATGTTGTTCATTATCTAATGGTGATATTATGCAGAGTTCTCTGAGTCAACATCCAAGAGAGCTGGACCCATTGTGGCAAGTTCAGTTGGAAATGCTGAAAGCAGGTGGAGCAGAAAGAGCCAGAATGCTGAAGTAAAACCAGATAATGTGGATAATGGTCTTAAGACAACTTCCATAGCTGAAAAATTGGAAGAAAATCCAAGTAGCTCTGAAACAAGAGCGAAAGAAGGTGCTTCTGCTTTATCTTCTATTTTGTTTTTACTTAAGAATGCTACAATGGCACATCCACTTACCACCTTTAAATTCAATTTCATAACAGCACATATGAGTGGCTGTGCTTTCTTTTTCAGGAAAAAAAGTTGAGAAGTGAGTTGTACTTACTAAAGGGAATCTGTACATTACTACATGCTACCTTGGCTAAAAATTGTGTTATTAGCATTTTCTTGTAAACATAAACAGGGAAAATCTATTGCAAGGCTATCACTTAAAATCTTAGGTTGATTTATATCGAGTAAAATGAACGAGCATTGTTATGATAGGAAAAGAAAAAAATTAGTTTGTTAATTATCAACTTCCTTAAGTTTAGATAAAGTGTTATGCTAACCTATATATCTTCCTTTTGCAGTAGTTGAGTCAGTCCCTGTTCAAAATCAGGCCGCAGCTCAGAAACTCTTGCAGAAAATGGGCCATTCCAACCAGGATGGTCGACATTCCAGAGGTCGAAATTACAGGGGAAAGGGAAAACAAGAAGAGCCCGTGGTGTTCACTTTAGATGAGTGGGAAAAGAGGAATGTTGGCGCAAAACCTCAGATAAATGAATACCCTGAAACCAGCCGTGATGAAGACCTTGCTAGGCAGCTTCAGGCTCAACTCGACATGGAAGAATATAATGTTAGTTTTCTTGAAACAAAGCTGTTTCGGTTGCCATTTGTGATTGTTTTTGTCGCCTTGTGTTGTTTAATAAAATCATTTTATTTATTGTTCAGGCACAAAGGACGCATGACGCTGAAGCAGATTACATTAAAAGAAGTATGTTTAACTATGGAGGAGAAGATGGTAGAGATATAGATGAGCGTGGAGGTCGAGAAAGGGGAAGAGGAAGAGGTAGAGGAAGGGGGAGAGGAGGAAGATGGAGAGGGAGAGGGAGAGGGAGAGGGAGAGGGAGAGGAGGAAGAGGGAGGGGGAGTTTTGGCTAACCCGTCTCTCCACCTCTATACTATATATGCACTCTTTGTACAAGGTAACATTTTCCTTTATCCTTTTTTTTAAATCACATGCATGAAACGAAAACCAATATGGGCCGAGTCAAGCTTGGAGCTTTCTGAAATAGAAAAAATAATTTCAATTTTGTCGTCCCAGTCTAGATCAGTTCCAAATAGTTTTAATAATGTTCTGTTTGCTTAGCGGTTTCTATATATTGTGATTTGTTTCAAAATACACTGATCTCGACATGTAACAGTTTCGGAACAGAAAACTTGCTGTGTTCAATCTGATAGTAGCCGAGTCGAATTAATCAAAATCAAAATAGTTGTTTTTTTAACTGTTAATCGAGTATTTTCTTTTATACAAAGGTAAACTACAGAGTTTGTTATTTTTGTTTCAATTTTATAAATGTATGATCATTCGATTCAAAAAAGTTAATTTGTAGGCACTTTCGTTTTATTTTAATTAAGATGGATTATTTTCGTTTCGTTTTAATTAATATGTTATCATTGAGACGTTTAATTTCGTTAAGTTGATGATGTGGCACGTTTATGAACAGATTAAAATTTCTTTTAAACCCGAAATTTTAAATAAACTATTGATTATGAGTCTTGTTGTAAATAAAAAAAAGTTTAGGGATAAAATTTATCCCATTTTTAATATGTTTTTCTTTAACATACTTTGTCGAAACAATAGCTTTCCTCCATCAGCACCGCAAGCCCCCATCAATAGGCTGTTTGGCTTCCCCGTCGCTGATCAATCCGATTTTGAAGCACACTTCACAAATGTACTCGTACACCGAAACTCAAGAGGAGTAGCATCCCCCCTTTGACGGGAGAAGACTGATTGTTCAAATTTCGTTTCAGATTTGATTTGCAAGACCGAAACTCGATTTCGATTCCCAATTAATTGAAGGACTCTGTCCCATTCACCCAACACAATTAGTTTTCAAATCTTTAAGGTTTTTAGCTCCAACAATAAGCGGTCCGAAGGACTGACCGTTAACGAGTTCTTTCAAGCAAACCGTTTTCAGTGAAGAAGCCGCCACTACCGGCCCGATAGCGACGATCTCAGATTGGGCATTAAGAGACAAACGGTGGCGGCTTCAACCGTCAACGCAAAGCCACTTCTTGCATACGAGCGAAAATGGTTCCGATCGCCGGGACCGAGGAATTGGAAAACATAAACTCAGTTGTGTAATCCCGATTCTCCACAAACTCATCGGAAAATCCATCGCTGGAAACTTAACTAGAACTGGACAAGCCAAATCGATCCCTGAAGGAGTTCTCCCTGTCTAAAGCAGCGGAAGGAGATTGACCCATTTTAGAGGGTGCAGTATACGCGCCACCGGTACAAACAACACCTCAGATTAGACTCTCCTCTTTGGACTGTTTTCTCAGAGAAAGAAGAAGAAATATCAGATTTCAAAAAAATGTTGATACAGATGGGAAATTATAAGGCCAAAAAAAAAAAAAGAGTTGAAATGTAGGGTTCATGAATTTGGCCCCGTCAAAGGGGATGCTTTTCCTAAAGTTCAGGAGTTCATAAACTTAACGGCATTAAACGTCTTAATAAAAGTAAAATAAAAGTGACCAACTTTATAATTTGCCCTTTATATAATTAACCGAATAGAACAAACTTTGTTAGCTCGTTCAGTTTTCAAATTAATCAAAATTCCTTATAATTTATTCAAATGAAATATCCTTAAACTAAAAACATAAGCCTAAGCAGGGGACGATAGCCAGTAGGACAACTCAAGAACAATAAACGGGTAAGTACAGCAAAATGAATCTCGACTCAATATAAAAGTAGGGATATATTTCACGTTTAGTATCTAAACTATCAGTTTTAGTCTGTTAAATTTTTAATTTTTTAAAATAATACTTATAATTTAGTTTTTTTTAAAGTATTTTGTTGTTAAAAATTTTAATTTTTGTTTTATTTTAGTACATAGTTCAAAATTTAACGTTAAATTTTAAAAAAATTAAAAGTTTATGTAACATCATTAACTTATATACGTACTCATATACTAGTCAAAGATGTCATATCCATCGTCTAATCATATGCTATTTAAAACCCATAAAATTTTACTTCGTTTAAAAATTGTCCATTATAATTAAAAACACTACATAAAAAATATCAATAAAACTGAATATGAATTTACCTATACTAATTAAAATACTATTCATGTAAAAATTATAAAAATACTGTTACCATACTTAATATTACTATATTTTAAAATATTAACGTTTATGTTATCAAAACCATTGTCGACACTAGTTTTCGTCCGAGTGTTATGATTAGTATATATATTAATTATTATTACAAATGGAGGCCCATTTATAAGAGGATGGCCCGGTTACAAAGCAAATCACAGGCCCGGTTACAAAGCAAATCACAGGCCCGGTTACAACCAAACTCGATTCAGACCCAGACCCATCCAAGCCCAGATCCAGTAGGCCCACGAACGAACCCAACTTTGCTAGGGTTTCTCTCCATCCTCTCTAGCTGACCAGCAGATCCTAGCCGTTCGATCTCAATGCAGATCAAGGGTCCAGATTGAGCCAACATAAACCCTAGGGTTATCATCTCGCCGCCTCCACAGCTCCAATCCAACGTTGCCACGACGTTGCCGTCTCTCCAGATCACACCAGAGCACTCCAGAAGATGCACACCAGCCGTACACGTTACAACCCTAGGGTGAGTCACCACCGTAGCTCCGGTGACTCACCGAAAGGCACCTTTGTGACCGGTCCAAAGGATGCACCACCAAGCCCTATAAAAGGACTCGATCGTTCCTGCAAGAAAAGAGACAGAGATAGCAAGAAAAAGGAACCCAAGAACAGCAAGAAGATAACATCTATACAAAACAAAAGACAGAGAGAGACTACCACAACAGCAGTAAAAGTAAAGAAAATAGAGTAAGAGCACTTACCATCGCTGAAGCCCAAAGGTCATCGAAAAAATGATTTTACCAAAGGTAAAATTCAAGATCTAGTCATATTGGTTGGTTTTTAGCAAAAAAGGAACTCAAATTCAAATAGAAGGGGTTTCGATCTACGTTTAGGGTAAGTTTGGTGTTTTCCGGCCACCATGGGTGGTGGCCGCTGGCGACGGAATACGACGGTGGGAGACTGCCGGTCAGTAATCGGTTTTCCTCCGATGAGGAAATTTAGAGAGAACTGAGAGGTTCTCTCGTTTAGAGAGAGAAAAGAAATGGGAGAATAAAGGCCTTAGGGTTGGTTTTAGGGCTTAAATACCCTCCCTCGTGCGACGTCGTTTTGGGAGAGGGTATATTTTTAATTTTACTATGGGTGAACTATGCGCGCAGTCCCTCCAGTTTTGTAAACATTCTATAAATTAGGTTTTTCCGTATATTTTAATTTTGTTTTTATATTTTTAATATTTATATTTTAGTCACTATTATGTATATATATATATATATATAGATTAATTATGCATTTAGTCCCAAATATTTTAATAATTTATATTTTGACCTATATAGTAAATTAGGGTAAAATACATGATTAGTATATAATTCTAATAGTATTTTGAATTAGGGTAATTAATTTTAATATTTTATGTTTTAATCACTATTTATTCATTATAGGATTAATTATAATATTTTTATTAGATTAATCTAATCTATATAATTGTAATATTTTATATTATAATAGGACTAGTAATATTTATGTTTAATATTATTTAGTAATTATTTAAATTAAATTATTTTTAAATTAAATTAAATTACAAATTTATCAATTACTGCAAAAAACATATAATTAATAAATACCAGTATCAATTTTGGGCATTGTGGGAATGCTAATTCTTTCCCATACATAACCGACTCCCGAACTCATTTTTCTGGTAAGTAGACCCGAGTTGTATTATTTTAATATTATTGTTAGAAATTTTTATTAAAATAATATGACATTTTGGTGATCAATCTCACCGAATTAAAAGATTGGTGGCGACTCTATAATTTGGTGTGTAATCTGATTTATGGAGGATAAACACTTACTTTTTTGAGACTAGTTACACCGTTCGGGGTGTACTATTTGCACTCTCCGTCGCCAGGGTAGAGAAACGTCTCGACAGCTTGGCAATTCTGCTGGTGATTTTTTTTTTTAAAAAAAATTAAAGTCCAGCCACCAATTTATTAATTAGTTGTCTTTACAGTAAATAATAATTTTGTTTTAATTATTTTTATTATTTTACTAACTTTTGTTTTTATGTGTACAAATTTAATTTTGGGTCATTAAAATAGGATAATAGGTTGTATATTATTTTTATTCATTGTTATGCTTTCCTCACCCATTGTGCACTGCATTCATGAAATGAGCTAAAACCCCGCTCTTATCCTGTTTAAGTGAATGAGAAACTACTCCATCGTGTGGTTTTCACCTCTGTATGGGATATGTACCATTCTTGGAGCTCATACCTTATGTTCCTCGTGTGGTTTTCACCTCCGTATGCACATAAGGAAGTGTGTTCCTTCGAATTGAGCTTAATCCGAAAGTCTGTAATGGACAAGGATTGAGGGCTTGGCAGTCCAAGGGGACACCACCAAAGGATAATTCGTTAACCCTTTTTACTCTAGAGCAAAAACCCAGCATATAATAAAACCTAGAACTAGAGTCTAGGTGAAGCCTAAACCGACTGAGTCTTGCAAGATTAAGTACACAAGGAAAAGCATGTTGAGTTTTTTTATTTATTTAGTATTATTTTATTTTTTGAATAAATGCATGCAAACTAGAAATCATGCTGTTAGGTTATTTTTCCAAACAAAGCATGAAATTAGAAAGCATGAGGTTAGGATATATATGATCTTTTCTTTCCATTAAGTGATATTAACTATTTGTCTATTATGTAAAAACATTTTTGCTCTAATTTGTTCATATTAATTATTCTGATTGCATTTGCATAATCATAACATACCGAAGGGTGTTGATTCAAGAGTGATTATCAAAATCAAAGGCTTTCATTATGGACAAAGGGTTTCATGATCAAGTAAACTGTGAAGCAACCAAAGCAGGATATCTTGAAGAATCTTTTAAAATAATGGAAGGGTATGCACATAAAAATCCTGTTAGATTGGT